GCATAATTTAATGGGGAAGATGGTGGATTTGGAAAACTCTGGACTCAACTCCTGATGCTGCAGTTATTAGCTGTGTGAACTTCATCAAATCACATCACTGTTCTGAATTTTAGTCTTCTAAAAACTAAGAAAAAATTATATATAGACTTTTCCCTTCATCTGTGACATCATTTAAGAAAATATGATATAGGATTAGATATTTATATCTATTTTTTGAGCTACTTTTATTGTGGTTATTTGTTTTTGCAGTAGACACACATGGATACTTGAAACTTGAGAAATACACCCATCTTGTCATCTATTGAGGTGGCAAATTCATTGTTTAATGATAAATTTAATGATAAATTTCCTTTTATCTTATATCAGAACACTTTGGCCCCAAAGATGTTTTAAATAACATCTGGGGGCACAAATAAGCTATTTAAGAGTTAATAAAAGCCTATTCTCAAATCTTTTTGAAATTTATGTCCAATCTTTAGTTTTTTATATGCTGCTCAGTTATGAAAAGGAGAGAGAACATAAAAGCTGATTTTTATTAGATTACGTATATGCTCAGTGTCTTTTTCTGGTCTTATCTAATCCCGCAGAAATAATCTAGAGGGATGTGCAATTCACTCTTCTCAGGTACTGCTCACCATCTGTTTTCAAAGTGAGAAATGAGCATCACTTTGTACCTTATTTCCCTTTGTCTGCTAAGTCCAAACTCGGGGAAAGAGGTCACTGTTTATTCTGTTTATAACTAACTTGATATTAACAATTCATGTTCCATACTCTGCTTTTTTAATATGGTTTTATGGTAACTATTCATCTCCCCCCCAACCCCCCCCCCCCGCCACCTTTTTTTGGCTCCCTCACGTACTTATTGCAACAGATACTCTTGGCTCAACGAAATAGGGAACTCATTCATCAGGAATGTTTGATTGGGTTTTTTTCAGAAACAAAACTGTTTTGCTTTTTGTTTTTAGTGTTTTCTTTTTCTTCTGTCAGACATGATCCAGTGTGGAAGGGAGAGAGAGAAAAACAAGAGAATCTTGGAAAACTGACGTGAATTGCAGCAAGTTCTTGGGTTTAGATAGAAACGGGAGGAATGAAAGTATAACGAGTGCATAGCTCATCGGTATATTGGAGATGCTCTTGTATATGTAACTAAGGTTTTATCAAGAGCATTAGCTATGCTGAAGATAATGGTGACAATAACTAATCTCACTGCATAATAAATAAGCAGGCTCAGAGAGGCAAGAAACCTGGCTTAGAACACATTGTTAGTAAGCATTGTAGGATTTTCCCTGTATACTCTTGTGTGTAGCTCAAAACAGTGTTTTTTGTCTAATCATATGTCTAGTCATACTGTTGTCTATGCCTTATGCTTAAAATGGCAGTGACTTTGTAGCAGAGACTTGCTGAGGTGCATGTTCTCTTCTGGAATGTTCTACGACAGTCGTCATGTGAGGACAAGAACGTTTGAAGATGATTATACAGCAGTAGCCTTATTATGGAATGCTTACTGTATGTCATGTATGTATCTATTTGTTTTATCTGTATTAACTTTTCTGCCCTGTAGAATGCTCCTGGGGGTGGCAGCCACCATTATTTTTTTCCATTTAGAGGTGAAGGTCAAGGCATAGTAGGGTTTCTAACTTGCCAAGGTCCCAAAGCGAGTGTATGTTCAAATGCAAGCTGTCTGGCTCCGTAGTCACCCTACAGTGTGACCTTTTAGCCTGATGAATTAGCAGCTGTGACTCTTTGAGAGCCATGACTTGGCCTCAATGGACATAGGAAATAGTTTCACGTGTGTGTGTTTCCAAGACTATCATATTTTTCATCAATTATAAGTAATGCACACTTTTTAGGATAGTCATTGTAAAATGTAACCCCAAGCCATAGTTAGAGGGTGGGGGAAGATTAAGTCATTTGGAATGGTTTTGAGAAACTCTCTGGGCAACTGGCCAGAGTTTTTGCTGGGCCTTGGGATCTTGGATGTTTGTAAAGAGTGGGGATATTTTGTGTCTTTGCACATAAGTGTCCCTGCTTCATTTTGGTCTTTAGCCGGAACCACTCAATGATGGAAAAAGAAATCTTGGGAAAGATGAAGGGTAGAACTAAAGGGAAGCCCTGCATAGATTTCAAAAGACTATAGAGTTTCACAGTTATAATTTATAATGTCCACTATCCTTGTGATATTTTATATGAGGTTATTTATCTTTTCTCTTTGAGAACATATTTTCCCTTATATTTAAAAATATCTTTTCTTTAGAACTCTTTTAAAATGTTTGGAGGGCAGAAATAGGTGAAGTAGGTTCTTTATTTTCTAGCCATTTTTGTCTTTGGAACAATTAACATGTTTCTCTGTTCACTGGTGTAGTTATTCAGCAGTTGTTTGTTGAACACTTACCGTATTGTAGACCCTCTACAAAACTCTGGAGATAAAAGATAAAGTGCTGAATTTGTCCTCAAGGCATTTGGTTCTGGTGGGAGAAAATGTCAGCTAGTCAGCCTGCAGAGAAGAAGTGCTATGTAAAAAAAAAAAAGAAGTGCTATGGAAGCAGAGTGGAAAGCTCGGGTCAGGGCACAAAGGAAGGAGGACATTAGTTCCTCTCATGGTGATCAGCAGACATTTGAGCCAAAGCTATGAACAGTTTTAGGGCTGGGTAGGCCAAGGTGGGCAGGGAGGGTGTTAGAGACTGGAGTGCTCAAAAGCCTGGGACAGTGAAGGACAGGAACCACCACCATCATCTCACAGCTCGCAAAGTTGACCATTGTAAGCAGCTCTGGTTCCCTGTGAAGGAAATGCCATGTGGACTCAGGTCCATGGATTCATGGATCTCTCCAGCCAGTCTTCCTTCATTACTGGGTAAAGTGGCACTGCTTCCCTTGTTCCTTCCTTCCTTCTTGTTTTCTTTCCTTCTTAACTTCCTTTTTCTGTTTAGTTGATGAATTTGAATTAGATGTAAGCATTTTTCACATCAGGCTTAATCTTACTGAGGGAAAAGGGAAGGAGAAAAAAAAACAAGCAGCTTCCTATCACTCAATAGGATATAAGGTTTTCTGCTATTTGTTTCTATGTCTTTCTTCATATGTTTCTCAGGAAATTCAATTTTTCTGCTATTCTGTTAGCATGCCTCTTTGATTAGGAGTGCCTGTATCACTGCTTTTCTCAGCTTTTTTTGTGAGTCATCGTGGATGAGCATGGCATGGTCATGGGGAGACTTCCTTGGTTGAGTACCTAAAATTTGCTTCTTTGGGGTTTTGTACTAGGACTGCAAAATGCTCATGTTTAAATAACTTAAAATTCCTGGGAAACTCATGAAACAGCCTGACATGATGTTAAATAGTTTGTGCCTATAAGATACTTTGCAGATGGCTAAGATAAGTATGAAGGATGCTTTATATGTTTTGACTTACTGTCTCTTCAATTATATTATATAAAATTCAGCAGACTTCTCCATGATCACTCGGGAAATGAATGATTTTCCTGTCATAAATCACAAATACCACAAACTAGAGGAGGATTCTAATTGACGGGTACTCATCAATAGTTTATTTATATTCTCCAGAAGGACTCCCCAAAATGTAGCATCCACCATATTTATTCCGAAAAATATATTCTTAAATAAAATTGCCCTGACACTGGCTGCTGTAGTCAAGCAACTTAAAAAAATCCCAACTGCTACTTTGCTTAGCAGACTAGCTGGATGTCCCTCCATGATTGTGTAAGATGAAGATAAATTGTGCATGCACACACACACATGCAGATTTTATTCCTCTGTTCACAGTGTTCTGATTCAGGGCAACTTGAAGATGATTTGGAGGTGTTATGATTAACTTTGCATTTATCCCAGAAAATTTCACTGGAGGAGAAAATGCATTCTTGGCATGCAGTAAAACCCCACATTTGGTTATATAATTCATTTGTGATTTAAATTTTCATAATTTATTCAGTAAGTCCAATGAATGTAATGTTGGATAGATAATAAGCTAATTTAGTTTTATGAGTAAAAAAAAGTATATGACTGATCTATCATTTTACAGAATGAACTGCTGAATCATGGATTTGGATGTGATTTAGGGGAGCCTTCCCACACCCCTCCTCCTCCTGGTCTTCTAGCTCCATCCACACATCCTTCCTGCTCAACCCTAATCTTCTTTGATCAAAGGGAAGCACTTTAAAGAAGGAAATCTTCAGGAGTTTTAATATAATTACCTTTAGGATGAGAATTCCGTTTAAAGTAGTACCATTGGCTGATTCAATAATGTCTAGAATTCTGCCCAGACTTGAAAGTACTTTGTGTCCATTGCTGAATATTGCTGCTGTCTTCACGTTTTGCTTCTGGGATTGAACTGTGTAGGTTTTTCAGTCTTTAAATACATTCTGGTGGGTATCAGTGCGTTTGCAAATAAAGATTTCCATGCTTGACCTGGTCACGATAGAAATGATCTGGTTCTGCTGCCCTGAAGTTTTCTCCATTTTGAGAGCAGAGACAAATAACCCACTATTATCTCATCACCTTGATACTGTCAGTGGTGGTTTACGAAAGCCGCTTTGGGGTTAGACCCTGGGAGTGGCTAGGATGGTAACAAAACCAGATTCAAGTTACAGACGAGCAGCTTCACAAATTATCGAATTCATATGCTGTATTCTATTCTCACAAGAGGGAACATTTTGCCAAAAAGTCTGTTCAAATAAAATTTCCTTTGGAATATTTTCTCCTACTCTGAGGACACGTGCGTTTCCCCAGCCCATTTTTCCTGCCCCTAGTACCTCATGTGTGGAGCATTCGGCAGGCAGTGAATGAATTCCTTTGTCCCTGCGTCTGAATGGTCGAGTGGAAGTCTTCACCCAAACAATAGCTTGTGGATGGTCTGCACTGGGGAGGCCCAGGCGCCACTTCAAAAGCGATTTCCCCATCCTGGCAGGGCAGGACATGTTCTCCTCAGTCTGGGAAGTCATAGCTCTATCCCTGTTCAACACTATACCTCCCTTCTGCTTGCTTCCTTCCCAGGAGCTGTGGCATCCGAGTGCGGCTGCCAAGAGGAATCCAGGAAAGCCAAAGAGCCCAAGCGTGTCAGACCTTCCTGTAGCCACACACACACACCTCAAACCCCAAGGAAGAGGATGAGAATCACCGGGAAGGGCACGGCCAACCAGGTGAGCAGCCACATCAGTCTGAGGGCTAAAGCAACAGGAAAGGGTTTTTGGCACTTCTGTGCGTTTGGCAACATGAGGATTTGACCTGAGCTTACACCGAATTACCTCACGGCAAATTATTTTCTGCCGAGCACTACAGATGTTAGGGTGACTCCACTGAGCTCTTGGGCTGAGGACAGATGAATACATACAGGAGGACGACTTTGTTTCCAGGTGTGATGGGGGATTGCTTCTCCTCGTTCAGGAGGAGGTTAAATCCCAACTTTTTTTCCGCCTTCAGGGGAGGTTCTTTTGTTCAAAGCCAGTAGGGGAGCTTTTGGTTTGGGTCTTGAGTTTGGTTTTGAGCCTTCTGGTTTGGCTCAGTATGGGTGTGGGTGTGTTTGTGCTTGTGGGTGGGGTGTGTGTATGTGTATTTGTGTATTTCTACATAGATGGCTAAGAATGTTTTTCCTTTTTATAAATATAAATCTCGCTCTCTTTTCTTTTTTTTGTTTTTTGCTATTTGGGTCCATATGTTTTGAAGTTACCTCCTAGGTGAATTGAATTAGACTATGCTATTTTTATTTACTTTTTAATGTTTTTAGTAATGAAATCACTGGTTGGAGCCCTATGCAGTTTGGTGCTATAATAGGATTTGCCAGGGTTCCATTGTACTCTAAATTAGTTTTAAATTTCTGCCCCTTGCCTTCCTTTTCATTTATGTTAAATGTTAACTATTATGTGAAGAGAAGGGATTTTAATGATAGTAAGAAGGTATTTAGAGACTCCTGCTCTACTGCTCATAAAAAAAAAAAAAAGAATACAGACTATCAACAGGGGAGTTGGATCCCTGAAACAACTCTCAGGCAGAGATGTTAATGCCCACACTGTTGACATTTGGGGCTAGATAATTCTGTATTGTAGGGTTTTTTCCTGTGCATTATAGAAGTTAGTGACAGCCCAGGCCTCAACCCACCAATTCCCAGTAGCACTCAACTTCCCCGGTGTGCAGCTGGAAAAGTACCATGGAGGATAAAATTGCTCCCAGTTGGGAACCATTGCTTTACGGATAAATTCTTACTGAGGAAAAGAAGGTAGAGAAAATAGTGAAGATGGAGACTATTGATTTTTGCTTTTTAAATATGTTACCTGGGTAGTTCCAAAGAAAGTATTGGTTTGACCAAAATTTTGTTCGGATTTTCTGTAACAACTTTTTGGTCAGCCCAATACATCTTTTGCAGATGAGGCCTGCCAGTAAAATTCTTGCTTCACCTTCAGTTCCGTTCAGTTGTGTCTGACTCTGCGAGCCCATGGACTGCAGCACGCCAGGCTTCCCTGTCCATCACCAACTCCTGGTTGTCCATCACCACCAGTTACCTATCCTTTACTGACTGGCATTTAGTTTAGATTAATGTAACAGTTGTAACTCACTTAGAACAAGGATTCATTTTGATGCTGTCATGATCAATTGAAGAACTTCTGGGTATTCATATCCTGCAGTACTTTCTTTAAAGGGGACGGCCTGATCTCTGGGTGCTTTTATAGCACTGGCTATTGATTGGTGAACGAGATTCAAATGAGGGCTTCCCTGATGGCTAAGACGGTAAAGAATCTGCCTGCAATGCAGGAGACTTGGGTTTGATCCCTGGGTCAGGAAGATCTCTTGGAGGAGACAATGACAACCCGCTCCAGTTTTCTTGCCTGAGAATTCCATGGATGGAGGAGCCTGGTGGGCCCCAGTCCATGGGGTCGCAAGGAGTCTGACATTGCTGAGTGAATAACACACACGTTAGAACAAGGATTGATTGTGATGCTCTCAGGATCAACTGAAGAACTTTTGTGTATTCGTATCCTGCAGTACTTTCTTTGAAGGGGACAGCCTGATCCCTGGGTATTTTTGTAGAGCTGGCTTATTGTTTGGTGAACAAGAGTCAAATGAGGCTCATGTGAAACTAATTGAATGGGTGAATTGAATGAAGAAAGACACCCACAATACTCTTTAATTCAGTTTTATGAATGGGAGGTCAGATACATGAGTTAAGGACAGGTTTGACTGAATTCACTGTCTTCTACAGTACTGAAATTGTCCAGAGTATTGCCTTCTTCCTGTATAGGATTGTAGTTTATGTGCTCCGTTCTCAATCTCCTTCCAAATTCTCTCTCTCTCTAGTAGTAGAATGTTTCAGTTGCCAGACAAGTGGAGTCATGTCTCCACTGTGATTTAACATTAAATGTCCTGCTGTCTTTATTTCAAAAAAATTTTTTTTCCTCTTTATTCACTCTTCACATGAACATACACGTTTGCCAGGCACGTTCTTGCATTTCCTTTTTCTCTTGCATCCTTCCTGCCCTTGTTTTCTTCCTTTTTCTCTGACTGTAGGAACTGTCAGCTGGCCTGGCTGGCATCGTCTTACCTTCTTTTGAACTGTGTTACCCAGAGACCTCCGTTTATTATGCCTCGGGCACGCTCTGTCTTGAATGCTGGATCTCTCTGAGGGATAGTTAATGATCTTTGCAGCAAATGAAGGTGAACTGTAGCCACATTATTGTGATAATACAGCCAACTGTATGGAACAGATTGAGCTGAGCTTTGAACAGCTGGGGCTGGCAGAGTGAGTCTTGACTTCTCTCGGAAGAGTTCCAGAACTGCCAAATCATCAAACTTGAAGGGGAAAGAGGGACAAGAAAGGTTAGGGGAACAGTGGTTCCTGCAGGTGCTTTTTGCTTTTGTGATCTACCTTTCTGGAAATTTTGCCGGTTTGTAGAGCAGGCGCAGTGCAGATCTAATTGAACCCAGGGGCTGCTGTCACTGTTTTTGGACTTGTCTGCTTCGTGACTGGGATGGCATTTTCATGTGCATTTGCAGGCATGGAACATGTGATGGAAACATGCTTCTGTCAAGGCTTATGCCACCCTTACGTCCAGTGAGACAATTTGTAGTTTTAAAGATGTGCAGCCTGAACAGAACCCTAATATAAATTCATAAAGGCTCTGTTGGAACCTTTGGACTTGGACTGTTGTATGGCTTTGTGATGGATATAATAAATGGACATCAGTGTGGGGTATGACAGATATTATAAATTGGTGGCCCACTGAGCCAGATCCAGCCCTCAAATATGCTGCTTGCCCTTACAAGGAAGTGTATGTATGTGTGTGTTTAGAGAATGAGCTGGCAGTGTTGGTTTGTTTTTTTCTTAATTACATAAAAATCTGGTTAATCTACCCAAAGAAGCCAAAAGATCTGGCTTCCCCAAAGCCATCATCTCCCATGGCACACACCCGCGGGGGCTGAGTAAATGTGGTCCCATACCTGTGTCCAGTAGGGAAGGCAGGGGCTTTGCAGCTCACAGAAGTCCTCACCTGGCACCCTCACACTCACTTCTCCTTGGGCTTCTGCCAGAGATCAGGGGAGACCAGATAGAGACTTTGGGATGGGGAAGAATTGGGTTTGACTTGTAGTTTCACAACCAGCTTTGTCAATTTGGGCAAGTGATTTACCTTTCTGAGTCTTAATTTCCTTGTGCATAAAATGGAAATAAAATTCTCCCCCTTACAGTTGTTGTAAAGAACATGAATTTAGGTAGAAAATTTGACACCCTTAAAAAAGAACCATGATGCTACACACATCAGCCATCATTGTAATTTTCAGCTGCTATGTATCATAGGTGATTTGAGGCCAGTCGTTTAGAGTCACATTGACTGTGTTATAAAATTAGATGAACACTCCTATTACTCAGGACAATGAGGGGACTTGTGTCTGGGCTTCCCATATTTCTGTTTTTGTCTTCAATACAGAATTTACAGTGTCTCTAGGGAAGTAATAGTATAGAAACTGAGTTCTTAGGGGTGGCCTTTTCTAAAGAGAGAAAATCTTACAATTTAGCTCATATTAGGTAGACACTTGATTTTCTTTTGACTGAGTCATGACTTAGTAATTACAATCTAAACTCTTGAAGTTTCTGTCTCCCCATCCCAATTAAATTCAAAATAAGTTTGATGATAACCCCAAGGATTGAAGATGCTCAGCATTTTCATGGAAGGAAAGCTACAGAAATGAGAGCGGTATATCAATTAATATATTTCCTTAGAAGTGAGAGTTGAATTTAGTTCTTGTTAGGCTTCCAATCTGTTGAGGACAGCAGTGTATCAGCATCTTGTGCTCGCATATTCTTTAAAATTTCAAGGGATTTTTTTTCTCTGTTCTTGCACTCAATTGATATCTTTTCTCTCTAATCTCTGACCTTTGACATCTATCAGAAGGTTTCAGAATGCATTTGACTGCCACACTAGGTGCGCTTCCTGTTTATTACATATGTAGTTAGGAAATACAAGTTTTTCCGCCCATTTTTCTACTTCCTGCAAAGATGGGTTTCCTTTAGATGTGGATATTTCACTTAAATGCGTATTCCTGTCTCAAAATGGTAAGGGAAAGCAGGGCAGTAATTTCTTATTGTATTCCACTTTGTGAATGTATCTGGAAAGCTCATATATTCCAGTGAAAAACTACTTAGAAGAAGCAAGCAAGGTGGCTAGAAAATGTTAAGGCGGTTGTGAGACCAGTGGGAGAAAATCTATGTAAAAGGTGAAAAGTGAGCTGTGATTAGCTTAGGCATAGAGTTCAGAATTCAAACCACGCCATGTGATAAACAGTTTTGTTTTCAGGTGTTGTCTTAAATCCACCTTGGATGAGTGATTGCCATTATTAGAACAGAAGGTCCCTGAGCAGAAGGCGTAAGAGAAGAAAATGTTATTTTTAGAGCCCTTCTTCTAAAAACCTTTCTGAATGGACATGTAAGTCTACCTCTGGACCTTGAACCTGGGCCCATATCTAGATCTGATTCCAGGTAACTACTCAGAACCCCTTTTTCTTCCAGCCTCTACCTGATGCTGTGCATGGAGGAGGTGCAGGGAAAGAGGGAAGGAGAGGAAGAGAGGAGGAGGGCAGAGTGTGGCTGGAAGTGGGGTGATTTGGAGAATGAAGGTTCTTTGCACTAAAGATTGAAATCACTGGAAGTATTGTG